AGAAGCAATACAAACATCTAAAAAATACTACCGTCTTTTCCTGATTTCCAGTCGGCTTGTAGCTGTTACGTCTTCAATGAAACGGCCTAGCTTCCCCCCCCCCCGCCATTGCAATCGCGGACTTCACACCTCCGCGTCAAATCCACTCGCGTCGCCGATTGCGTCGCATGATGAGCGGTCGTCTGAACCAGTGTGTCCGCCCACGCACTGTTAAGCCGGTGACCCACCGAGGTGACTCACTGTGGGGTGACATTTTATCCCCTTTTGGTCCACATCTAGGTGAACATCATCGCGCGTTCCCACATCCTCCCGCCTGATTGACCGAACTCCCACATTTTTGCAATTCTGACAGCGCATGTTTTGCAGCGACCAGCGACCCGCTTTGGCATGCACTGGATATACACCACGACCTTCGAAATATCTGACTTTAGAAGTCAGTTTGGCAAACACGTGGTCTCGGTAACTCTTCATGAGGCCAAAACATTTACATAGAAATTGACAATATGAGAAGTTCATAGGGTTTATAAGTGACTCATGAGCTGTTAACTCTCATCGTTCCCATACCACCCGCATGACGAGGTCAGGATGTTGTGGTCATTGGGGCAAGGGGGTAGGGTGACAAAGGTTTTGAGTGATGTTTGTAAAGCTGGTATGTGGAGCCCACATCACTGCCATCAGAAGGTTGGGGCTGCGTGCATTGATCATATGGGGTCAGCATTGGCTAGGGAAGATAGAGCACCTGTGTCAACGTCTTCTGACAGCATAGTACTGGATTCGCTATCTGTATACACACTGTCGCGGCTGTAGTTAACTCCCGTTGGCGTAGACCTCTGGGGAAGCCTGCTGGTGTCCGGTAGACAACCTGAAAGGCTTCTTTGACATCGACTTGATGACTCGTATCGACAAGATCTGCGAGAATAGGACTCGAAATCGATTAGTTCTCCCCCCCCCCTGACTAACCAGGCCGGTATGCGTTCACGTACTCTCTTTACCGGACGCCTAGTTGTACGGCCAATGTATCCCGCTCTACGGGAGCAAGTGGATGAGTAAATGCACATCGATGTGGCCTGCAACGGTAGTCGGTCTTTACCTCCCAAGCGTAATAAGAGAGAGTTCGTGAAACATACGCGTAAATTCGCTGCGGGGGAAGCGCAAGTGAATTTGCCAAGTTCCTTCTCTGCTGGACTATTTTAAGCAAATTAGATTCACAAATTCGGCCTTTTGATTTCCGCTGGATTACGGTACTGAATAAATTAACACCGCCCAACCCGGCGAAGTGAATAATTTGACCTAGGAAATTGTCACTCGAATGATGGAGCAGTTTTAATTATCCCTCTACAGCGATGTAAAATTCCGCTCAGCCGAAAGTCAGTTATGTATTAAAATGAAAAAAAAAACGATGGAGTCAGTTGTCTCCGGCGGACCTGTTTGATACCAGCAATTTTTGACTGTTTTAGTCCAACGCTCCAGCTGTACGACCTCGACTAATAAGCCAGAAATGGCCACCCCGGCCCCCCTATCTTTGTCAGTGACATATCGATTTAGAGGTTACGTGTAAAATTCGCAAAATCCAATTGTACCAAACTCAAGCCATCCGACCGGACAATGAACGACAACCGACGCGCATTGAGGCATGCTTTGGCCAATCACAGGACTGTTTTTCATATTGACCCAACTGTGAGAAACTCGGCGCCTCCGTGGGATTCGAATTTACGCAGTAAGGGGCAGGCTTTATTACAGCAAACGCTCTAGCATCTATGAAGTACGTGAGCCTGGTAGTCATCTGGCGGATTCTAGGTGAATTACTTAAGAAATCCTACCAGGGCAGTCAACTTGCTGTATCAGGTTTGGTGGATTCCAGACGTTGCAGTAGGTTGGGCGGGTATCTTGACCCAAATGTGATTAAACTCGCGTCGTCCGGCGGGGCCTCGTAGCTCAAGTGGTTAGAGCGTTGGCTGTACTAAAGCCCTCCCCTTACTGCATGGGTTTGAATCCCACCGAGGCGCCGAGTTTTTCTCGGTTGTGCCAATATGAATTATTCAAAATCCGCCAAAACGACCATGCATAGTCTGTTTTTGTACATGGCCTTTGAGTCTGATGACGAGCTGAGGAACCAGTCTGGAAAATTTTGCAATAAGGATTATTTCGTTTCCATAGGGTCTCACGTGTTTCTAGTTACATGTGTTATGACCTCTTTGTGAACGCTTGTAATTGATCATTTTGTTGTGCAACCGTCACATATGCCGTCAACTATCATCCTATGACTCTTTTATATTATTTTAAAGTCAGGTTACAACATTACCTATATAAATACATGGCTTACAGGTGCGCTTGAATACACCTACTGAATAAGTTAACGAATAACTATTTTTATGCATGTTTTCATGAACTATAATTTAATTTTCAAGGGCATCGAAAATCAACGAGAAAATTGCATGCTCCTTAAGTGGTCATTTTTACAGAGTGCATTTTTCGCATGCAGTCCGAAAATAAGCTCATTCGAATGCTGACACCCTGAGGTAGCTAGATCATAATAGAATTATTCTGCATGATGACTGGTTTTTCAACCCTACTTAATTAATCTGTTCGAAAAAAGAACGCACTTCGAAATTTTGGTTGACATTTCATGAGTTAGCCCATTTACTCTAAAGTACACAGTATATAAGAGTAACCCTCGCATAGTTACAGGTATAGTGGATAGTTTGGCACTGTGACTTAATATTTGGACAGAGATTCATTTCTTTCCCGACAGCCTTGTGTTTGGAATTTATGCACTGTTTGCTAAATGTTATAATAAAAACATTGAATTTTATTGTTTTTTTGTTGTGTTTACATCAAAATTAGCATATGAAAATCACTAAATGACTTTATGTTGCAAATAAATGTATTCAGTCAGGAAAATAAAAAAAAAAATAAGTGAATGCTTCGATGAGCTCTGCGAGAAAGAAAGAAATCCTCGAGTACTTAACCACAAATAGTCGGAGGTCATCTGCATTAGAAACTGGCAAAGGGAATACCGGGAAACTCACAGAGAAATCAAACCACTCACAACAGAACCATCGGTGAAACACATATCTGGGCCTTTAGCTTGCATCCTTGCTATAAAAGATGATACAAACCGCGGTCACATGCATTCATACTACTCGGTGTACTAGCCGCGTATAGAATTAGCATTGCGCGTTTAGTCCGAAAATTTGATTGTCTACAACTCAGATATCCATCGACAGTTCAGGGCTGGCCATACAAAGTTCCGTCCTTTAAACATGACTTCAAGTCCTATACTTGCTAATTTCCGAAATTATTGGCTTGATATATATATATATATATATGTAGAGTAGAAGTGGTAGGCATTCCGAGACGATATAATGAAAAAGGAAGAGGTTCTTCGGAAAAAATCGAGTTGTACTCGTGAATTTTCGAATTGGTAACACCAACCCGTCGTCAGACAAAA